TTTTACTGTTTTTGCCATTTAGTTTTTAGTTTTAATTCTTATTTTATTATATCCTTGTTATTATTATCCTTGCTTTTATTTTTTTTAAGTCTAATTTTTAATTTTTAGTTTTTTATTATATGTGGTTTTTGCTTTTTTAATTTTTATTTTTCAAGTTTTTATTCAAACTTTATTTACTTTTAATATTTCAAATTTTTATTTTACATTCTTTAAACATCATACCCACTATATTGTTACGACTGCAACGTTGACGCTCTCACTTAACGCGTTCCGCTAGGAAGCCGCGCAGCGGCTGCAATAAACAACACCATTTAATGAAACACGTAGGCTTTATTCAAACCAAACTACAATAACAATTTGGCGGACATACATCCGCACGCCACGAGTCACCGCACCGTGCTTCTGTAAACAACATCACCGTTGCCTCGGAGTGCGCTTTGCTTCTATTCCGACTTCTAAACAGCAGCTTGACTTCACTCGGCCGCAGAAAACTCGCGCGGGCATAACAATATTTATTTTTATTATAAAAAATATTTTATAGCTATGTTATACAATTTGCATTAGATCTAACTTACTTACCAGACTAGACAATAATCGGGAGTAAGTTTTTTTAAACTTTTTTAAGATTAGTAAATATTTGTTTTTAAGTATTCGTTTTTTGTTCTATCATTTTGTTTTAATTTTCAACTTTTAACTTTTTTATTTTCAGTTTTAAACAATATACTGGCTAGTGACTATAAGTCACTTTTAGGTATTTATAGTCGATTTTTATTTTATAATTGTCTTAAGTAATGACTTATGATGCTAATACGCTTTGTTAAGGCCACAGCATGTGAACAAATTTTAATCGTAATTGTAAAATCATAAGAAAATTGACTAGAGTTCGCCTATTCCTTTTACGACTCAAATAATTTAATCGGCAGATTATTTCATTGAAATTAACCAATATTTATTGTTAAATTTATGGACAAAATATGATTGGTCAATTCCAATGGAATAATCGGCCAATTAAATTAACCAGAGTTGAAAGTGGTTCTTAAGCGACGTCTACAATGAGATTTTAACACGTAAGACTTAAGAAATTAGCTAATTACAATCGATTGTAGTTGGCCAATTTCATAAGTCTTACATCTTAAAGTCTCATTGTAGATGCCGCTTTATGCATTAGTGTCGGTCCACAATAGGTGATTTAAGCTTTAAGAAGTAAGAAATTGACCAATTATAATCGAATATGAAAAGAATAATCGATTATGATTGGTCAATTTCTTACGACTTAAAGATTAAATACTTATTGTGGACCGACACTTATCCACAATAGAGAAATAAATCTTAAGCCATAAGAAATTGATAATCATAATTGATTTATAGAATAGAATAATCGATTATGGTTGATCAATTGTTTAAGTCTTACGCCTTAATCTCATTGTAGATGCCGCTTTAAAATTTTGAAATGTAGTTCAATATAACATATTTTCTAACCTTTAAATGAATGTTATCTATAACACTGAGTAATTGTTTTTACCACATCGAGTAACATTTTCATCCTTTTTTAAATCTTTATTTCTATGCTAAATGAAATCAGATGAATATATTTTCATTTTTTTTTAAGATGGATTTCTAATAAATATTTATTTTAATTTAGTTACTAAATACCTAACAATCAATCAAAGAACAATTAACGATTACATTCGCTCGATAACATATTAGAGACAATATTGATAAAAATATTATTTATTAACAAAAAGATTAATGATAATTATATGCTATAAACATAGCTTAACCTATAAGAAGTATATGGTTAAAAGTTGATATAGAAGAAAATATATTGTTGCTGAGATCTTTGATAACAATCGATTGACTCGGTGAAACGCACTCCCTCTGTTTTTGCCAACCTTCGGCTGGCAGCAGTCGGGATTAAAAAGAATCAAAATTTTTTAATTCTAAGTTTTAATTTCTTTATTCTTGTTTAATAATTTATGTATCAATATGGTGATTATTTTTCATTATTATATATGAATGCTTATTGGTCTAACGATCTTATGCTATTTTTATGCCATGCATTTTATGTGTAATAGGCCTTATAACTGTAAACCACTGTATATCTCTAAAATTCCCTACCTAGATGTATTATACAAGCATTATTTAAAGTATACTATCGTATATCTGTACATATATTTCTGTATTGACAAAATATCAAATATCAAATATAAACAGTATTAACACTTATCTACAAATATAGATCAGTTGCTTCAATAATATTATACAAAAAAAGT